ACAGTAGTATTTAAAAAGACACATTTTATAGAACAATGGGTACACTCTTTCACGGTAAAACTTGCTGTTAACATTACATACACCGCACATGTGCTTTCATTCCAAGGTCGCATTTTGCCTCCCCCCACCATGTGGCTAGCCCCTCCCCATGGCTAACAGTGGGGAACACTTCCTGTTCAGCCACAGGCAAACAGCCCAGCAGGAACGGGTACCTCTGAATGTCCCCTTAAGAAGAGCACCCTATTTCAACCAGGTGACCATGAATGATATCACTCTCCTGAGGATAACACAGAGAGATAAAGAACGGATGTTGTTTGAATGCCAGCAAATATACACTGCGATGCTTTGTTCTACAATGATTCCCGAGTACGTGCTACTGGCCTGGTGTGGTAAAGTGTCCTACCATGGTGGATGGAATAAGGCTGCCCTCCCCAGAAACCTTTTGCAAAGGCTTTGGGAGTACATCCAGGAGAGCCACAAATGCCAGGGCAAATTAATCATTAAACATGCTTGCTTTTAAACCAGGTATAGTATTTTAACAGGTACACTCACCAGAAGTCCCTTCTCCGCCTGGCGGGTTGGGGAGGCAGTCGTGGGTGGATTTGGGGGGTACTGGCTCCAGGTCCAGGGTGAGAAACAGTCCCTGGCTGTCGGGGAAACCCAGTTTCTCCGCTTGCTTGCTGTGAGCTATCTACAACTTCATCATCATTATCTTCCTCATCCCCAAAAACTGCTTCTGTGTTGCCTCCATTTCCATTGAAGGAGTCAAACAACACGGCTGGGGTAGTGGTGGCTGAACCCCCTAAAATGGTATGCAGCTCATCATAGAAGCAGCATGTTTGGGGCTCTGACCTGGAGCGGCCATTTGCCTCACTGGTTTTCTGGTAGGCTTGCCTCAGCTCCTTAAGTTTCACGCGGCACTGTTTTGGGTGTCTGTTATGGCTTCTGTCCTTCATGCCCAGGGAGATTTTGACAAATGTTTTGGCATTTCGAAAACTGAAACAGAGTTCTGATAGCACGGATTCCTCTCTCCGTACAGCGATCAGATCCCGTACCTCCCGTTCGGTCCATGCTGGAGCTCTTTTGCGATTCTGGGACTCCATCATGGTCACCTCTGCTGATGAGCTCTGGCCAGCGTGGCAAGCTGAAGGTGACCATGCAAATAGGAAATTGAAATTCAAAAGTGTGCGGGCCTTTTCTTGTCTACCTGGCCAGTGCATCTGAGTTGAGAGCACTGTCCAGAGCGGTCACAGTGGAGCACTCTGGGATAGCTCCCAGAGGCCAATACCGTCTAATTGCATCCACAGTACCCCAAATTCGACCCGGCAAGGCCGATTTTAAGCGCTAATCCCCTTGTCGGGGTGGAGTAAGGAAATAGATTTTAAGAGCCCTTTAAGTCGAAAAAAAGGGCTTCATCGTGTGGACGGGTGCAGGATTAAATCGATTTAATGCTGCTAAATTCAACCTCAACTCCTAGTGTAGACCAGGGCTTAGTCGCTCCTTTATCCACTTTGGGTCTTTGAAACGTCTGTGAGTAGGTAATCAGCCAGATCAAAGGTCCCTTCTTCAGAGCAATGCCTCAAAAGGCTGAGTTCTTGCATAACCTGATGCTTCAAAGAATTTTAAACAATGTGCCAGACAAGAAGACACTTTCAGGTCTATCAAAGTAAAGTGAGTTTCCTAGGAGAAAGGGAGGGGGAATGCAAATTCCCACCTTTGGACCCACATTTTGGAAGCTAAAAGAAAAGGAGTACTTGTGGCACCTTAGAGACTAACCAATTTATTTGAGCATGAGCTTTCGTGAGCTACAGCTCACTTCATCGGATGAGACAGAGCCATTATCTGGCTGATTACCTATTCACAGTCTCTGCATATCAAAGACCCAGGCTATGTAAAGGAAAGGCTAACCTATGCATAGGTGTTCTTGTTCTAAGCAAAAGGTGTAATGAACTTGTAACCATAGAAAAACCCCTGTGTGGGGACTGATGGACTGACTCCTACCACAGCTTTTTTTGGAGGTGGGGTGATAAGCTTATTAGCATGGACGTAGGCTCCTTTATTGTTTCAATACTTTTTTTTGTGCAATGCTTTCACCTTAAGAATAAATCTGCCTGAAAAAACCCTAGTCATGACGGACAGAGATACAGATCTGTGACCGAGAGAGAGGTGATGGCGGGGGAGCCATGAGCCTAAAAGTGGGTGCCCCTGCTGAACCACAGAGGAGGAATACAGGTGCAGTTGCCCAGAACTGTGACTGTGGTAACTATTGACTTATTTGTAAGTGAGAAGCTGGTTAAATTCTGTCCATCTTCAGTCTAAACTCTCTTCTCTGACCTTAAACTTCCCATCCCCAGAAGAATGCATTTTTCTTCTATATATTTTTCTGTTCTCTCTCTCTCTTTTTCTACGGTTTGCTTTATCATTGATTTAAATACAGTTATGGCACTGTTCAACAAAGTCCATAGTTTTGATAAATTTATGAGACTTCCCCTATGACCGCAAGAAGAGCTCTGTGTAGCTCAAAAGCTTGTCTCTTTCACCAACAGAAGTTGATCCATTTAAAGATATTATCTTATGCACGTTGTGTCTCTGATATCCTGGGACCAACTCAGCCACAAGAACACTGCAAACATTCCCTTCATCCTTGCAATTCTTAGAGAAAATCTATTTAGTGAAGATGGACTTCTGGCAATGATGTCCAGTATTTGTCAAGAACTTATGGTAGCTTTTTTAAAATCTAGGGGATGTAATTTGAATAGTCTGGAGTTAGAAAAATCCTACAATAGCTTTATTTTGTGCTGATGTTGGGCTGGGCCTTTTAGAGCTGCAAAACTATTATTCGGGGGCATTTAGTTTTGTAGTAGGATGGTTAACTTTTGTAATGAATACAGAGAGTCAAAAGAATAAGCTAAAGTTAAGAAGACAGAAGTATAAGTTTGGCCCAAGAAAACCAGTGAAAGAATTTGATCCTAATATAAACTAACAAAAGATGTTTGGGTTAAAACTAAGTTTTAAAGTAAACTTACAGGCACTTCAATGGAGATCTGACAATTTATACAAGCTGAAGAATTGCTCCTCAATATTTTTCCCACTCTGGTTATATTCTGAAATTCCTATACATCCATGTCTAAACCAAATTCAGGAATGAGGCAGTATCAGTTGAAATTATGCAGAGGACTTATTCAATGTCTTTTATTTATTTATCCATTAAACAAATGAAAATAGATTTTAATATGGCCCAATGGTTAGAGTGCTAGTCTGTCAGATGACCAGAGTTCAATTCCCTCCTCCACCACTGATTACCTTTGTGACCTTGAGCAAGTCACTTAATTTCTCGGTGCCTCCATTCCCCTCATCTGTCAAATGGGAATATCACTGCCCAGCGTCACAGGAGTGTTGTGGAGATAAATATATGAAAGACTGATATACCCAGATGCTATGGTAATGGAGCCCATATATTGTAAATACCAAAGATGCATATTAATATTAATATAACTTGTCTTTCTACTATATTTAGGCCTACATCAACTCCTGCTAACCAAATAGTTGTGGAACGTCAGATGTTTGAGATACAGATTAGTCACAACATTAGCAAGCAGAAAATCAACCCACAAAACTTGGGAGAAATTTGGACCCAGGTCTGAAAACTTTGCGAATCAGGCCCATCTCTACCTTCTAGAGAGATCCACAGGCTGATTTCCTGTGACATGCATGTAGTCGTGTAGGTACCTAAAACATCTCTCTCTTATCTCAAATCTTAAACCTGCCACTGGCTGGTGAACAATTTGGGAAGTCTGTTGAAATGCACTGGTGGTGGACCACAGGTGGGACAGTGAAGTGTATGACACACATGCCAAACCAGTGGAAAAAAAAAGCAGAAATTGGGCTTGTTTTTGGCTTAATTGGCTTCTGAGTTGCTTTTTGGCTAGTATTTGGCATGTAGCTAGTTGCTTGTTGTAGCTTGTTACTACTTTTTTTTTTTTTTTGATCAGCTCCCAGCAAGCAGAGGGCGGGGGGGGGAGAGTAAGGGGGTGCATACCGTGCCCACCACAGTCCCAGACTGCAGGCCAGGGGATCTAGTTACACATAGAGTGTTGGAGTTCTTAGGGATTGGCTTGTTTTGAAATGGGATTAGCTTGATTTTTTGGCTTATTGTGAAAGTTGGGGTGCTCATTTATGGCATGAAAGTTGGCAACTGTAGTGTATGACAAATTGCAATGCCATGTGATAGGCAGCAGTGCTGGGTGGGTGGGTGTCTGTAAAAACGTGTATTCCCTTAGCTAAGTCTAATAAATAACAGCTTTGAAGTTACTACGCAGAAAGGAATTAATTCAGCTAATCTTTTATCCAAAAGATATAAATAAATTCCTCCATTTTTTTTATCTTCAAAAATAGTGGGGGAGCTTGGACCTAGTCCCCTTGTTAGATCTAAGATTCCCAAGGATGCTTTTGTATTCATTGAGTGGATTATAGATCCGTTTTATTTTACCTGGTGGTGACAGGAGATCGAAGCTGGGCCCGTCCTAGTTGGGGACCGGGCGGATCCTGCCATTCTCCCCCCCCCCCCCCTCCCAAGGGCTCCTCCCCGCAGGAGAGGCTGCAGGATCAGCGCCGCCATCCCTGCCGGGGTGCGCTACACGCGCCATGGCGAGCGTGCCTCGCCCGCGCTTGCCGCAGAGCCTGGCCCAGAGAGCGGAGAGGCAGCCAGAGGGGCGCTGCCGCTGCCCCGAGGAAAGCCGCTGTGTCACGCTGCACGGGCAGAAAGCAGCCACTTCTCCCGCGAAGGGGGAAGCTAAGCGGGATGAGATCCTCTGCTGGCCCGGCAGTTCCCCAGAACCGGGCCCTGCCCCCCCCCCCAACCCCGGCGGCTACACCCCCCGCTGTGCACCATCCCCAGCCCCCTCATCCCCATGGCAACCACCCGCCCCGCCGCCCTCCAGCTCATCCCCTCGGCGGGCGGGGGCGGTTCCGGGCGGGCTGGCCCCGCCTGTGGGAGGCCCCGCGGCGGGCTGGGTCTGCCTCGCTCCGAGTCGGCAGGCGGCGCGGCTTGTCCCTCACTCTGCTCCGAGCCCAGGCCCGACCCGCCGCGCCCTGCCGCTGCTCCATGGAGGCTTATCACAAGCCCGACCAACAGGCGCTGCAGGCCCTGAAGGACGCGGCCAACCGGCTGCGCATCAGCTCCATCCGGGCCACCACCGCCGCCGGCTCCGGGTGAGTCCGGAACTGGGGCCTGGCTGCCGCCCCACACATCCCCGCTCCTCCCGCCCCTACACGCTGCCCCGTCCCGACCCCCTGCCGTGCCCCGACCCCCAGCTCTGCTCCCTCGTGCAGCCTGGCGCCCCCCCCCCCCGCTGCCCCCTCGTGCAACCTGCCCCCTTACCAACCCTTCCGCTCTGCGTCCTCGTGCAACCTGCCCCCTTACCAACCCTTCCGCTCTGCGACCTCGTGCAAACTGACCCCTTACTAATCCTCCTCCCACCTCTCAACTACCCCTTACCAACCCTTCCCTCTCGACCTCTCAACTGACCCCTACCAACCCTTCCGCTCTCGACCTCGTCAAACTGACCCCTACTAATCCTCGCTCTCTCCCTCGTCAGCCTGGCGCCCCCCCCCCCCCTCCCCCTCGTGCAAACCGCCCCCTTACCAACCCTCAGCTCTGCGACCTCGTGCAACCTGCCCCCTTACCAACCCTTCCGCTCTGCGTCCTCGTGCAACCTGCCCCCTTACCAACCCTTCCGCTCTGCGACCTCGTGCAACCTGCCCCCTTACCAACCCTTCCGCTCTCGTCCTCGTCAACCTCCCCCTTACCAACCCTTCCGCTCTTCCTCGTGCAACCTGCCCCCTTACCAACCCTCAGCTCTGCCACCTCGTGCAACCTGCCCCCTTACCAACCCTTCCGCTCTGCGACCTCGTGCAAACTGACCCCTTACTAATCCTCAGCTCCGCGACCTCGTGCAAACTGCCCCCCTGCCGACCTCTTCATGCAGACTGCCCCTCTGCAGTCCCCCTACCTCTGCCTCCTCGTGCAGACTGCCCCCTACTCAGCCTCTATCACTGCCCCTAGTCTCAGGCCTTGTGTGTAATTTTTCCCTGGCCCCCTCCTTCTGCCCCTTGCGTCAGTCATCCTAGCACCTCGCTTCTCTCTTCCTCTGTTCTCCCACTTTCCCAATCTGCAGGTCACCTGGCCAGTGAAATGAAGCAGGCCAGATTCTGCCCTCTGGTATATCTGTGCACTGGCCATTACAGTTTCTGGATTTGAGTTCAGTACGGTCTCACTGGAGTAGCTGAAAGCAGAATTTGCCCCTTGATTTGCCACTTGACTGAATTACAAAATCTGCAGCAGGTGACTGCTGAGCCATGTGTAAGCCATGCAGTGCTGCATGCTATTTCTGAGAGCAGCATGCTCCTGTCCTGGGAGCAAATACACAATATGGGGTGGGCAGAACTGAGAGAATTTTCATCATCAGGAGATCTGGAGTTTTGAAGCAGTTGTATTTCCCAAGCTTGCCATGAGCAAAGCTTGTTATATTAGAATCACTGTGAGTATCAAGTGAACTCGTTGGTTCAGCTCAGTGAAGCCCTTTCTGTAGGTGCAAAATGTAGCATTTGAGAATTTGTATGGGACCATTTTTAGCACATATCAAAAGACCCAGTGCAAAACCTAATTCACGTTAGTTCTTCTGCTTGTATTAAGTTCTGTAGTATGTATGTGTGGGTGGGGATATATGTTTACATGGTGCTTAATTTGTGCCAGGGCTGAACCCTGGCAATCTCAGCTTGGCGATTCATAGCCCTGGCACCTCTGGGCTTACTGCATCAGTTATGAATGTAAATGGATTGCTTGAACCCCCGGACCTTCTTCATTACAAATTAAGCACTGTGTTTACATGCGGATTAGAGGTTCATGCAGGGTTGTGGATGTGCAGTTTTGGGTGGAAGGTTGTACGGTATTGGGGTATATGCAAAGGTTTAGAGGCAAGCTGTGGGGGGAATGGATGTTGATGGGAGATGGGTATATAGGGAGTGCATGTGTGTGATGAAGATAGCGATAAAAAACCTTTCATGTTGGGGATGTGGCTTCAGAAACTTGGCAGTTTATTGATCACCCAGGTAGATAACTTAAATATCAGGGAAGTATGTTCCCTTGCTTCTGAATGTGCTACTTGTATCGCTATGGGGTGTGAGTGGATGTAGTGGGTCCGGGAAGGGGTGGGGCGGTATTTCTGTTTGTTTTGAGGGAGGGAGTGATTTACACTTTGTCTCTATGGAGTGCTGCCTCTTTTAGTCATGGATTCAGCTTTGATGATGCAAGATTGGACAGGATTCACATTGAGAAAGCGTGCACTTAACATTTTGACAGTTTAATTATGACCCTTTGGGGGAAATCTGATTGTTAACAAAGTGTGTATAGGTTCACTGTACTAGTAAATATACTATGACTGGAAAGAAATACCAGGAATGTTAAGTTAATGCAGAACTAAAAACCAAAGAATTTATGCCTAGGGCCAAATCTTTTCTTTTTCATTTTGTGCCTGTCTGTTGGAACTAATTCTCCACAGAATTTCAAGTTAGCCCAAATGGGATTATCTGCAAAATGCCTGCAGTCTCAAATGGACAGTTAATTTAGGCCTCTGGACAGGATTTAGTTCAGGCTCTGAAGTTTGCCGGTTCCAGATTTGGCCTTGCTTTGATTGTGCTGTATGTATGCAAAAAATACTATCCATATTTATTTATATAAAATTAAAGCCAGAGTTTTTGCCGGTCATCACGTAAGCTTTTCATTGTGGAACGCTGCCTTTTTGTATTCCATCTTTTTGCTATTTAAATTTTGTTTACTCTTTTTTGAAATGTGGCTGCAAATGCATCTTTTCAAAAAGAAGAATTGGACAAATAATCACTGCATACTAAGGCTTTAATGGGAAAGGCTACTCTACTACAAAATATTTTAAAGCTGTCTCTCAATTTGCGAACATCTTTCACTGTGTTTCTGACATAAGCAATTTTTTACCTTTTGTTTCTGAGAGAGTTGTATTAAAAATTGCAAATGTAGGGTTGCTTTCTATCACTCCAGATACACACCGAGAAGATACTTTTTGGCTTTTTCCTTTTAGCTGCCAAGTCAATGGAAGTTGAGGACTCTCAGTCTGTTGCCAGAATAGATCCTTAATTTCAGATGTTTGGTTTGGTCTGGTCCAGTCTGGGTAGTGAGTTTTGAGTGCAGAATGCTCACCAGTTCCTCTTTAATTATTAATTTGTTTTTAAGCTACAACATTTGGGATTGTGTTAGACAACTACACAAAAGTATGCTTAGCAAAAGTGGCAGAAGACCCACTAAATATATGGGGTTTCATTCTGTATTTCATGTTAGTAAGCATAATAAGTGTCATCGCTTTCCCACAGATGTAATTATTTCCGTGTTATGTGTAGGTATATAATACCGCAAGTCTCTTCTGCTCCCCTTCAATTCAGTGGTAAAACTCCCATTGACTTTAAGTGCAGGAGGATCCGGGCCCCTCACAGTTTTGAAACAATATCTGATTATCCTCCTTAGAAGTGGGAATGGAATGGTTTACTATTGTTTACTTATTTTTAAATATAAGAATAACTGTAGAAAGATTTCCTTGAGATTTTATTTATACATAATCATTGAGACTTGATTACCAGGATGGTGACAGAACAATGCATTTAATAGAAAGAAAGAGAGCAAAGTTTCAAGAACACTCTGATAGCGTTAGGGAGTCAAATCAAACTCACACAGCCAAGTATCTGCACACATCTATTGAAATCTTGATTACCTGAAGAAGGCAAGTAAGGATATGGCTCTCAGGGTGAGAAAGTAAATAGAACAGAATGGCCTTTAGTGGCATGATTGTCAACTACATTTGAAAGACAAGGTGGGTGAGGTAGTATCTATTATGGGACCAACTTCTGTTGGTGAGAGACACAAGCTTTCTCTCACCAACAGAAGTTGGTCCAATAAAAGATACTACCTCACCCACCTTGTCTCCCTAATATCCTAGGACCCACAAGGCTACAACAACACTGCATACAAATACTTTTGATTACATTCTTATTGCAAAGAAAGACTGTATGTCTGAGTCACATTTTACATTTAACTCTTTTAAGGATGTTAATATTTGGTTTTAAAAGATGATTTGTGAGCAATAGGATTAAGAAAAAATACAGGAAATGCTTGAAATTAAAGCAGTTAAGAACAAAAGAGAACTTGTGGACTTCCTTGAAGGAAGTGACTTTGTGAACTATGACCTGTGTTGCAAGCAATGTTGTGAGGTGGTAGCTATATTAACTAGTTACTGCAGTGTTTTCTCATATAAAACTCTCATTGAAGACAATGGGAGCTTTGTCTGAATGAGGACTAAAGGATCTGGAAACCTGATCCTGCAAGATGATTGTATGTGAATTTTAGAGATGCTAAGGCTGTTCCAGTGAAAAAATGAAGTTTATGGGCAAAGAGTGGTTTTGTTTTAATTCTCCTGTTAATCCACTGCAATTATATTTGGGAATCAAAATAGATTAATAAATATAAAATCAGTATTTCAGTTAACAAAACTACAAAATTTAGGTAATTCAGAATTAAGATTGTTGCTCCTGTTCATCACCTGTTGCTTCACAGCCCTGGTCTACACTAGGACTTTAGGTCGAATTTAGCAGCGTTAAATCGATGTAAACCTGCACCCGTCCACACAATGAAGCCCTTTATTTCGACTTAAAGGGCTCTTAAAATCGATTTCCTTACTCCACCCCTGACAAGTGGATTAGCGCTTAAATCGACGTTGCCGGCTCGAATTTGGGGTACTGTGGACACAATTCAATGGTATTGGCCTCCGGGAGCTATCCCAGAGTGCTCCATTGTGACCGCTCTGGACAGCACTCTCAACTCAGATACACTGGCCAGGTAGACAGGAAAAGAACCGCGAACTTTTAAATCTCATTTCCTGTTTGGCCAGCGTGGCAAGCTGCAGGTGACCATGCAGAGCTCATCAGCACAGGTGACCATGATGGAGTCCCAGAATCGCAAAAGAGCTCCAGCATGGACCGAACGGGAGGTACGGGATCTGATCACTGTTTAGGGAGAGGAATCCGTGCTATCAGAACTCCGTTCCAGTTTTCGAAATGCCAAAACCTTTGTCAAAATCTCCCAGGGCATGAAGGACAGAGGCCATAACAGGGACCCGAAGCAGTGCCGCGTG